AGGTATTAAAAAGTGCTATAAAGTCTTCCTGAAATCAACTCTTCTCCAGGCTGAACAACGCAAACCTCTCAGCTTTTCTTCTTAGGACAGATTCTTCTGCTCCCTGATCATTTTGGTGGCTCTCCTCTGGCCTGCTCCAACATGTCTGTGATTCTCCTGTGCTGAGGACTTTGGAAGTGGACACAAGACTTCAAGTAGCACCTCATAGGAATGGAGTGGAGGGGGGAAATCCCTTCCCTGCTGTAGTTGGCCTTCTTAAGCCTCATGAGGTTCCCATAGCCGAGGTGCTAGAGCTTGATTAAGTCCTTCTGAATGACACCCCATCCCTCAGACCTGTCAACCATAGCACTTCTCTCAGTGTCGTCAGCAAACGTGCTGAGTATTTTGCATAGACTGAGGTGTTTAATGCCAGCAATATATAAATTTTGCTGTCAGATCATTACCTTTCTTTTTGTATGTATTGCAGATTAATCCACTATTGGAGAAGAGCTGTTGGATATATTTAAAATAATATTTTATTTTAAGGAAAAGTTATACTATTTTGAGAATATGCTGGTCAAATATTTCTTGTAAGGTTCCAGATACTGGATTTTTGTTTTATGAAATTTGCACTTTAGAATTAATTTTTTGATACAACTGATATTATTATAATGTTTTATGTGATGTGTCTCTGGACGCTGTCATGCTCATGTGGGCAAGTTCTGTGTATCAACCAAGGCCTCTTGTAAAAAAAAGCTATTTTAATCTGAAAGAATTCTATTTAATTCTTCTATTTTCAAATAAAATAATAAAATTTCTTTAATCTGTCTTAAATCCTGGCACTGCTTTAGGACTTCAAGAACTGCAAGCCAAAACTATATAAAATTTATGTATAAAAATATATATTTTTAAGGAACAATATAATATTCACTGTCACCTGATTTCACTCTATGAATCTGTGCTCCAGATGTGAGTGGCCAGTTTAGTTCTTCTCTACCCCTCTTACCTCATTTATATTGGGATTTTTTAAATTTTATCCATTCTATATCCTCACCAAGAAAGGAATCTGTAATTTCATGACACTTTCTAAATACCTTGTCTAATGATTTTTATCAGAAAGAGGGAATTTTTTCCTCTTCTTGAGAAAACAAGTCTGAACATTGGACCACAGGATAAATTGTATTGTCTGCCCACAGACATGATGTCCGGTCATCCAAAATATAAGCTACTATGTTGACTGAGGGTTTTCCCCTCAACACTCAAGACACAGGAGATATTACAGGAATTATCCACTGAAACTTGACTCATTACCTGATATCTCAAATTTAATTCTGCCTGAGGATTTTTGTGGGCATTAGACTGACAGGTATGGAGGGGAGAGCACTGATGTTCAAAGGTAAGAATACCTTTACCTTCTGTGAAAAGTACAATGCAAGAGGAAATGTAACATTACCTACTAAAGCTGATTCTTCTTTTGAGGTCATTAACCTGACCTTACAGAAAACAAAGTTATTTATAGTCCTTTTATTGTTCAGATGTTTCTATATTGAGCTTTCCTGTTGTCACCAGCCATTCTTAATAATAAAGGAGAAATAGTGTAATCTTCTCCATTGTGAACTTTTTATCAAAACAAAAAGCACAGTTAGGTGAATCAAGACTCAGCACCAAACTGTATCTTAGAAACCTTATATTTCAAAAACACAAGCAAAATTTTTATATTTTTATTTTTTCCTATCAATATTATTCTGACATGGAAAAAATTACCAGTAATGAAAGCAAGTAATTTTCAGGTATCTTCCAAACCTTTCAAAAAATTATGTCCATCATTGTTTTGATTTTCCCACTTTCAAAAAGAAATGTCTTCCTTACAAAATCAGTTCATTCTCTTCTAGTCAAAGAAACATTGTCCCAGCTAAGAGTTAGAATAATCTGCCCTGATTGTGTACCTGAAAATGGACTGGCATAGCTCATCATCTCATGGAATCAGTAGGAAAGATTCTTTAAAAGGACAGGGAAAAATAAATAGCAAAAATTTGTCAGTTCTGAACTTATAACTTTTCTGAGTTAAACTTACTTAAAAAATCACATTACTGCAGAAAACTTTGTTTTCTTTACCACGTTTAAAGTTTTCTCTAAATATTTATTTTACCAACTGCAAAGTCCACAACATAAAAAGACCTTGTCTTCACACATATCTTTTATTTCTGCTTGATGTGTGTTTACACAATGCAGTGACTCAGAAAGGGATTTTTTTTTTTTGAGAGAATACTTATGACATTCTCTTGCTGTTTCCAGAAACATCTACTGCTTCTACCATTTCTCATGGCCACTTGTTAATAACTAGTATGAGATTTGTATGAACAGCCAATCTTCAAAAGGAATTTTTCTATCAGAGAGTACTTGGAAGCTATTGCAGCATTATGAAACGCTAACTCTAATATAATTTTAAGACAAATGGACCTCAATATTAGCTCATATTTTCTGAGATGCTCTAATTTTACTGGGATGAAAATCAGGTTTTTTAGAGACAAAGTGCAAGATACTGCTTTGTCTTTGTGATCCAAAGCTAATTTTAAGAGTTGCATGCTGTCAAGAATGCAAAGTACTTCAAGTTACTGGAATCAGACAAACTCCCACATCAGCTGTTCTTTGATCTGTTAGAATATTGTCCACCTCACAGAAAGGTATGCTTGATAAAAATATGCAGATAAAAAAGGCATGTCATCTCTATAGGTCTTCTAACAGAAATTTCTTCAAACATTTCTGGTAGTCGAATGTTCTCATCTCTGTTCTCTTCTGGTGTTCTCAGAGTAACCCCTGAGCATCTCCATTTGCATTGACATATGTTGCTGTTGGATAAAAATTACATTATACACAAAATCTGCATTCATTGGTATTAAAAATTCTGTGCATTTTTAAAAGCAATCAATTTGTTTGGCATATATCTGGGATTAGTACATATTACTTACTCTGTTACAACTGGAATACAAAGATTATATTAATTACTCTCTCAATCTACAAGTTGCTCACAAGCAAATTTGCTTTGTTGTTCTGAGCCTTAATGTTATTTCCTGGCACTATCCAGGCTGATATGACCATTGTGCCATCAACAATCGCTTAAATCAAAAGATCACCGTGGCGTCTCAGTAATTTGTTGCTATCTTGTAGAAAGTAAATACCCAGCTATGCTGAAGTCTTCTGTCAAAGGTTTATTCAGTGTTTGTAATAGTTTGGGGACAGAAATAGCTTCTTTCTCTGTCAGTTACATTAAATATAGTTTTTGGTGATTATATATTGAGTACAAAGACCCCTACACAGCAGCTTACAGAGTTCTAATGTGAAAAGAGATACAGAATATAAAGCTGATGGTGATGATTCTGTATTCTGCCAGCCCATATTCATAGCCACAATGAGTTGATTTGCTCACTATTACTGGTAAAAATGGGTGGGAAGGACTTTAGCACAGAAGAGGTGATAAATATACTCTTTAACCAGCTGACCTCAGGGTCAATATGGCACCTTTAGCATCAAATTTGGTCAAATTATATTGACCAGAAGTGTCATAGAAATTATTCTGAATCTTGAGAATAAGACACTTGGCCTCAGGCCAGTTCTGGACCTCTTGAGCTTTTCTGAGATGAGTGTAGTGAAGAGGAGCACAGCCTGCTCTGAGACCAAGCCCAAGGCTTGTGGAATGAAGTCCAGGTGCAAGTTCAAAACACTTCAATCTTATAATGTGTCATTTGATTATATAGAATATGCACATCATTTTCCTCATAAATTTGTTTTGAGAAGATAAAATTAAACAAAACAACCCATTCCTCTTGCCTCACAACTCAAATTATGGTATCTGGATTGAGATGATCTGTGGTTTCTTTCACAGTTTGCAATTACATAGATATATGATTTAAAAAAAACCCAAAACACAGTATTGGAAGACATACATCTTTCTCTTGGGAAAGCAAACAGCATAAGGGAACACACTGGAAATTGCTAGTTAAATTGCTGGATGCTCTACTAGTAGATATTTTGATATTGCAGTGTAAGTACAATAATATGGAAGGCTAGAGTAAAATTTACAGAAATCCTGCAAAGGCTCTGAACAAATATTTTGAGCACACAGAGCAGAAGGAATCCTCATTACAGTTTTCTATTTCAATGGTGCTTTCAACCAAAAAAAAACAAAATTTGGACACACCTGTGCCTTCTCCTCATGTGTTGCAGAACCAGGTAAGGAGCAATCTTGCTGTGCCCTCTAGCACATAGTACACTGTGTAGCTTTTCTGGAGTTACACAGATCTAAACTACTGCCTGACTAGCACATTTTTCCCTGCAACTCACACAATGACAGCAGTAAAAAACATTGACTGTGCAAGGCAAGGAGCTCCATTAACCACAGTCACAAATTTCTGTCAATATTTAGTCCTTGTTTTGCCAAGTTGACTGAAGACTTGTAACCTGGCATGGGATAAGCAAGCACCTTAACTCATAGTGCATCAGCTCTTCCAATGTAAACACCTCTGCATGTGGCTTTGTGCTGAGGCAAGGGCAGAGCTGAGGTAGGATATATTTTATGCATTGTGCATAATGCATAATCCTTCCTGCTCTAAGAATGTGCACATTTACTACTGCATAGCCAATGACTTGCAGATCGCCACAGAAAATTCCCCTTGATTACTGCTTACATGCTGTGACATGTTTACATGTATAACATCCCATAACTGACTATTCTTCAGGGACTCAGAGTGATCACTCCTTAAAATGTTGGCCCACTGAGTGTGGATATGCTGAAACACCTTTGAGCACACTAGATATTTTAGTCCCCTGAGGATTTTCTCCATCCTGTCTAGTGACATCATTGTCCTGTAACATTCTGTTCTCTTCTGGCTTCACTACAAATGCTGTACATACCTTTTTCCTTTTTTTTTTTAATTACATGCTGCCCCAAACGCAATGTTGTGCCATCTGACTGCAAGTCACATCATGCGTGCCAATGTGGTCAGAGAAAAAAGACACACTACCTGGTGGTGACTCTCATCTGCTAACCACGTTTTGATATTATTTGAAGGATGTGGAACAGGCGTGGTTAAAACTTCCAGGCATCTATACCTGCAAGACAGTGACACAGGCACACAACTATTCTTGTCTGCAGGAATAGATCAGACATTTATGCATTGTAATATATATTCCAGTTCCAAGACAGGCATCTACTATTTCTAAAGACATTTAACCTCTTTTTTTCTTTATTTTCACTTTTATAAACATTTTCCATAGCTCTTCTTAACCTAATTGGTTTCTAACCTGCAACAGTTTTAAAAGGACTGGATGCATATAAAAAAACCTATTATTTATACACAAATATTATTTCCAAGCAAATTGAGAACTTGTGGTATGCTACTGTGTCTGTACCTTAAAAAATTATTCCGATGTATTCTTTCCATAATTTAAAATTGATAACTTCTTTTATACAAATCAATAATGATTAATCACTAATTAAATAATAAGTTTACTTTCAATAGAGGCTCCACTTACATACTGCTCCTTCCTAGTATTAAGGTATCTTGAGTTATCATCCTATCCTGGACAAGTTTATTTCTCAGATCACGAAAGCCTTTGCTGCCATAGGCAGCTCTCAATAGAGAAGCTATGTTGCCAGGCAGAAAAGTAGTGGCATAGAGAGAGCATTAACTGCTGGTGGGTGTAGGGCCACTACTATCTCTTTGCTCTACTAATGGTATTAACAGTACAACAAAGGAAATTCGTTCCGTCAGCCTGACTTCCCCTTTTTATTTCTAGTAAACTCTCTAGTTTAGAGTGACAAACTGCTTTCACAACACCCATGGGTTTTGAAATGAAATTGGACAGCATGACATGCAGTTCATCTTTGGTCTCATTAATACAGGTGGCCTTGAATGCAGAACCTGTGAAAGCATGAGGTAAAGTCACAATAAAGATAGAGAGGCTGCTGTCAGAGTAAGATTAAAAAATGTCATTTATAGTGTCAGAAATACATCAGAGAATAAGGTGTGAGACAGGGTCTGTGGGGGACTGTGGTAGGAGCTGTGAGAGAAGAATTACAGGTGTCAGTGTCTTACACTAGGTCATAACATTAAGCACAAGTTTGTTAGAACAATAGTCAGAAAAGCAAAATTAACTGCTTCTTGAGAAAATCTGTGTTTGACTTTTATCCATTGTATGGTTTACTCTCATCCTGACCCCTCTTCCACCAAAAATTTATACAATCATCAGAAATATACACTACCTTCTACATGCATATATCAGCAGACCTCCAAGGAAAACCAAAGGACAAAACAATGCAAGGCTTAGCATTAGGATATCCACTGTCTTTTCTAAAAAAAAAAAAAAAAAAAAAAAAAAAAAAAAAAAAAAAAAA